TTTTGGACATATTTTTTAAATTTAATTTCACAAACTGATGTCTTACCAAAGTATTGAACAAGAACTCCATTTTGAGTGTGCCAGGCTGGGGAATCCTGACCCAAATACTCCATCCATATATTTTTTTATGCAAGGAATACCGAGGGTCCGTGCCTCTTCTCCTGCTTTTTCTGCAGCTTACCTTCTCCGGCTTCTTTTGCCTGCTTTGTAACAGCTAGCATTTATGCTGGAAGGTCATTTCTAGAAATGATGCTGAAGAACTATTGCTTGGTTCATTGCTTAATGCTTACATTAAGTTTTATCCAAGTTAGTGTTTTCCAGATATGTTCAACTTCAAAATGAGCTAGCCAATGGGATGGTTGGTCTGCATCATTATTTATTATTCTTAATGATATCTGAAAGAAATTATAGTGATTTTAATCAAAATTTTAAGAAACATAATTCCAGAAAATATACTACACATATAATCAAAACTGGACTGTGTCATTAAGAAAGATATCTGAATGAACATATCAAATTAATTATGACTGTATTAATGTATAGCCACACTACATATTAATTTTTTTTTCAAATTGCAGCATTACCAGACCTTGTGAATTTTAGTGCAATCTAGTAATTGCCGGAGCAAAGTCAAAATACATTCTTTTTTACCTAGGCTTTTGTCCAGTCCCCCCTCAGACTTTTCCTAAACATCTTTGCAAACGATGCACCCCATCTGCCGACCGTCTCTGTTATTACATGACATGTAAAATGTTAGTATATGATGTAAATGTAGTGTAATATTGCAACTTTGCATTACTGCACATAAAAGCCCCACTCCTGCTGAACTAGATAGACGTTTGAAGTATGGTGCTGTTACTTTGCTTTCAGTTTGAGTACTTTGAACTCGTTCACACAATGCCAAGGAAGAAATGTGATAATACAGTGTGTATCTTTTCCTGACAAAAACATCAGGAGTCTGGGAGCAATTTTTCCAACTATTTTTTTTTAATTAAAAGGAATACGCTTTTGTGAGCCGCAGCTCATTTCATCATATGTATGAAGTGGCTTGACTGATGTAGGATTTAAATTGGGGGGAGGTGGGGGGAATTGTTAAGTGACAAAGTACGTGCAATCTGTCTCACATATAATCTGCATCTGCATAACCAACCTGCCTTCCCCTCCTTTTCCCCCACCTCACCCCAGTTTAAATCTTAATAAAATTTGTTAATCAAAAAGGATGCTGCCAGACTTCTGGTTTTTTTGCTATCATAGACTAACATGGCTCTCCTTCTACAATGTATTTTCTTGGGTGATTTTTACTTCCCACTCATATGTATTTAAAGTTGATATAGTATGATTTACTAAGATCATCAATCTCCAAAATAAAGCCTTCATGACAGAATGTCATACCCTTCATTTTGAAGGATAATTTAAAAAGGATTTTTTTTTTGGTGCCTTCAAATTACTAGCTCCTTCAGTTTTCTTGGCAAGATTTCAGAAGTGGTTTGCCATTGCCTTCTTCCTAGGGCTGAGAGAAAGTGACTGGCCCTAGGACACCCAACTGGCTTTGTGCCTAAGGCAGAACTAGAACTCACAGTCTCCTGATTTCTAGCCTGGTGCCTTAACCACCACACCAAACTGGCCCTCCAATTATTCATTTAGTCTTATTCAAAATATAATGTAAGATTACAAAATGACATTAAAAGCAAAGTATATCAAATGAATCAAGCCAATATGAACTCATATTTCCAGTACTACCAGAACCTAGGCAGCCTTTTCCTGTACCTAATATTGAATAGATCAGATTGGCATACATATCTCTAAACACTCACTACTTTGTTCAGAAGTTCACTTATGCACTCTAAAAGTTTGTTCATACAGATACCAATGGAAAAGTTCAGTAATCTTTCTCTCTTGACCTATTTTCTACTTTTTCTCTGTACTTTTGCAAAACCTGTTGTTCTTATTTAGAAATGCTGCAATGGTTTTTAAATCAAGAGACTAAACTTGTTTAATGGTTGTTGGTATTATTTTTACTTTTATCTGGTAAAGTTCTTTTAAACAGAAAATGTGCATATTCATTATATCTGTTCATATACTTCCCTGACAATGGGGACACTAAGGGATGGAATACCCATGCCTTCCCCTTGGAGATCTCCTATAACAGTGAAATATACTTAAATGGGTCTTAGACTGGGAGGAAGTGCTTATAGTTTGTACATGCCTCAAACTTTGTATGATACCCGCCAGATATATTGGACTGTATCTCCCACCCCACAGCCAACATTCTGCTTGGAATGATGGAAGTTGTAGTCCAACAATCCATAAGGCTAATGCTCATCCAAGTTTTACTATTTTTCGTTATTAATTTTCATTCTCTGGATTGTGATCCCCATTACCTGACATCTAATGAAAGCACAGCATGATTTTTGATGTGATTATGCTATGATCTTCCAGATTAGTGGTTTATACTGTTGCCCACCCATTGCTGTACATGTAAAGCCTATGTGGGTTACCAATTGCTGCCTCCTCCTTCACCGTGCACTGCCATCTACATGTTCTACCAGTCAGCTGGGCTATTTTTGAACAGAGATTTTAGTGTTAGAGCCATGTTCAAGAATAGGCCAAGTGATAGGTAACAGGTGGACGATGGGATGAAAGGAGTACAGAGTGGGCTCCCTTCTATTTCACTCTACAGCCCCCCTCCCCAGTGCCCGTCATCTTTTAGTCAGGCAACTTGGCAGGTAACTAAACCTGCCTTTCTAAATATCCATTCAAACCAGGATTCTCCAAAGTGATCAATATTGACCCCCAAGGGTCAATGGAACTATCCATTATTGTTGTTGTTGTTACAGTTGGTCGCAGAGTCAGCCAGATATTTAGACTGGATTTGGCATTTTTATTCAACTATCGAGTTCTTCCCAAGGACCTGGGATAGGCAGATGTTGTTGTTTGATGGTGTTGAAGGTATCGTTGCAGGATATAAGCTGTTCCAAGTGAAGCCACCTTTTGAAATTGATTGATGGTGATTTTGTCAATACCAATAGGCTTCAAGTAGTGCTCCAGATATTTTGTGATTGCACCTAAGGCACCTATAGCTATTGGTACTGTCTTTGCTTTCTTTTGCCATAGTTGTTCTATTTGCAGGTCGTTATATTTTGTGATTTTCTCCAGTTCTTTCTCTTCTATTCTGCTGTCTCCAGATATTGCAA